GGGAAACGCTCATGAATGGGAAATTCAAGGATTCCCCATACTGCCTCTGATGAACTTAGATATCTTTCACTTGTGTAGGTTTTAACTTCATCCTTCTCATTCTCTTAGGCAAATGACGCCTGGTCTGAACCTTTATGTATTTAGAGACGTATTATATTGTTTTCACCGAATGACAATATTCCGCATTTAAGTGAGCGTTAAATGTTTTTAATAATACTGGATTATAAGGGACTACCCAACGATTATCTATGGTTGTGCCTTTGATATCAACAGAGAACCTACCGTCATCTAGTAAACGTCTCTTCTACTGCGGATAACCGTTTTCACCAGTTTGAGTTTCCCTTACGAGAGCCCTGGGACATCGTTTACTGCACATGTTATCTTTTATACATGGTGACTTTCGATTTAAAGTTCCACATGGACCATATATCATATTACATTTAACGATTTCGTGAAGCTCTGGGTCACGTTTGGGATCCAGTATTTCAGCACAAATTTTATTGTCGAATTGATCCGGAGTAATACGTTTGTGAAGCCATAAAATAATATATGGAAGACCACTCTTTTGCCATTTCTTTAAGTACATATAGCATCGCTCTTCACCAGATATTTTGCCCTTTGTCAATAAGTTCATAACCTTTTTCACCTTTCGTTGAAATACCCTCGAAATTATATCATGTCTATCATGAGATTGTTGTCCTTGAAGCAATTGCTCTTTTATCTCGTCCCAGCGAGGATTGCATGTGAAAGTGATAAAAAGATCAGTCTGGCCGTAATTCCTAACATAGGTCATAGTGTCCTGTGTTCTTTCGTGCATATATCTAGGTCCCCCCGTAAAAGATAATGGAAAGATAACCATTTGTCCTCGTTGGTTGGCTTATATATATATATATATATATATATATATATATATATATATATATATACATTGATTTGGCGATCGCTCTCTTCACCGCTGCATGCATGTCTGTCCAGCACGAAGTAAACATGCAACATTCGGTGGACAAATAGTTACTTTATTTGAAAAGTTTTTGTTTATCATCAGGAAATAAAGGATGTAAGTAAAAATATAGCTAATGAAAAATCTAATTCATTCATTGACTTATAAACGAGAACTCGAACGTCAAAGTTTTTTCCCGGCGATTATATTACATTTCTTTATCTCGATTTAAAAAAATGTATTTTAAAAATCCATTCGATTAAAAATTTAATTGAGTACCTATTTCATGTATGCGAATTTTTTCTAAAAATATACTATTTCAAGAATTTGAAAATTTGATTTCTCGAGTTTGAAAATCGTGTTTAAAATACGACATTTCTGTCCCACTTTTCCCTAACGGGGCGTCAATTAACTACGTGAGGTTTGGGGTTTGAGATTCGGCTCGATCAACAAATAATTAAGAAAAATAACATTTTTTTTTTTTAAATAAACCTAACGCAATCAAGCACACATTAACGTATTTACATTAAAAATACGTATTTTGAAAAAATCTCACATGGGATTTGGAGGGGGGGGGGGGAGGGGTCGAGCCATATCTCACATCTCACCAGGGTAAGTGGGAGAGTAGAAAAATCGCCAAAATTGGCTCACTTAATCAATGGACTGGAAATGAATAATAAGTAAAAAAAGGGTTTTTCTTTTTTGTACATAATACTCGTTAAGATTCTAACGGATGGATCTTCCGTAGTTAGGTGCCATGATTCACTTCATTCACACGAAACCTTGGATTAAAAAGCAATACGAGGGCCGCTATGTGAAATAGCAAACGAGATATCGGAGTTCCCTCACGACATTTCTCCAACCTTTCTGACTGTCCACAGATAACTCTAAATGCAGAGCTTACAGAATAAAATCTACATACATCATGCATGAGCGGTACTTACACGTACTTAGCTGTCACGACAGTGCACCGTTGCAAATCGTCCGTTAATATTTAATGGTGACACGTTCGTACAAATATATTGCTTACAGCCGCGTGGCTCAGTGGTCAGGTTAACTACAGAGCTTTAGGTTCGAATTAAACCAGAGTTTAAAAGCCAAAGCTTACTACCAACAGTTTGGTTTTTTTTTTAATGAAAGAGGAGGTGAATGAGCATACGGCCTATTTGATGGTAAGTGATCACCGTCGCCTATGAACGTTTGCAACATCAGGGGAATTAGAAGGAATAGGCTCTTTCCTTGAAGGTTATAATTAGACATCGGATTTTGTGCATTTGGATATTTGCAAATGCACATAACTTTCTATTACGGCGTTAATGCATATTTTAGCCTTTTTTCCCAATCGTGCATATTATTTCGTTTAGTAGCGGGAGGTACGTATAAGGACCTAGGTGATGAAGACGTGTAGGGCGCGAGAGCAGTGGCTAAGTGAACTGTCTAAATTTACTGTACATTACCTGCTTAGCTCACGGGCTCCATCGCGTTACAGAAGAGATAAGGCAAGAATATGAGAATGTTAACAAATTGATTTCCTCTACAAAAAAAGTGTTTTTAAAAGCACCATCGCGTGTGCTCTCTTATAAAGAACAATTGCCAAATCTAGCATTGGGGGCCAGAACCTATAATAACACGATAGGGCACTTGGCTAAGGGCGGTGTTACTTTATGCTGAAAATTTTGAGGCCGTAAATCAAGTATATAGTTTTTCAATTTGACAGTAAGGAGGCCATTGCAATTTAAGTCAAGTAAGCTAGCATTTTAAGAAGCATCCATTTAATAGAATATCGCTCTCATCTCAACACATTTCCTCAAGTTACCAGATGCCATAGAAAATTGGAAACAAATAACCTTCCTTTATTTAAATCAATAGAAATACTGGGAACAATGATCGAACTCGTCAACGCCCTTTTTAATTCAATATCAGAATAGATTCGCACAAAGTTGGACATTATTTTGCATAAAAACCTGAAACTTAAAGACAAAGACATTAATGCCTACATCAACGGCCGTACCATGCCTAAACAGGTATGCCCAGAAACGGCGCCAAATTTTAAATTTTTTCCTATGTCCTCAGTTGATATAGAGAGGTCGTTTTTGGCATACAAATTGATACTGGGTGACCAACGTCACAAATTTGCGCTCGAGAATTTGGAAAATACTCAATTGTATATTGTCATAAAAACAATGCATAATTTTAAGAACATTTCTCTGTATTTGTACCGTATTTAATTAAAATATATAAAAATAATAATGGGTTTTTTGATTTTGCATTGTGCATATTTTGGGCATATCAACAGTTTTAAGTGCATATTTCGGTCTTTTTAGTGCATATTTGCGTGCATATTTTGGCACTTTGTTAGTGCATATAATCCGATGTCTAGTTATAATATTATATAGTGTGTTCCCGTTCATTGAAACAACGGTAAAATTATTCACAATGTAGCGGGCTAAAAAGAAATCACAAAATACCCGAATAAAATGCAGATGTGTTTTGCACACGATCCATGTAAGAGGTAGAGTTATAATTAGCATAGTGCTGCAATTTCACGTAGGTATTCTCGTGATCCTTCTCATAACTCCCTTCACAACTATACTGTTGAACATAGGTATGTCTCCTCCAAGAGGGATGCCACAAAGTAGTCCTAATCCGACTGCATTCATTGACTTCCCACATGTCTTGCCAGGTCGTCACTCCATCCAGCGGGGAGACGCCGTTCAACTTTTCCTCAGCCACTCGGGAACCTTTTCCCGGGCGTATTTCTAACCCAGTATTAAAGTACACTACAAGTAACTTGTAATTCATCTGAAAAGCTGTCTGACAACCATAATTTATAAAGCAAAGACATATTTCAAACAAAACAATTCGTTAACTACCTACCTAACTTACCACTTATGCATTAAGATAAACGATCCGTTACAGGTTTCTATCGTAACTTGCCAGTGTATCCACTATGTAGGCCTCGAGCTTCATTACACGAGACACCGTATCTAAGCAACTAACTTACCGTGACAAGAATATAGTATTTATGAAAGTAAACCCCTACGAGGAAAGGTCAGGGAAAGATTTAAACGCTGTAGACCTTGATTTATACGCTTATTGGGTGAGTGTAGGTACAAGTAAATTTATGCTGCAGAAACGAGTGGCAGAGTTAGGGACAAAGAACGCCATAGATATATTAAAGATGGGTCAAATTAATAATACCAATAACTGACGAGCATGTATGTGTAGATTTATTGGATGTGAAAAATGAAAGAGATGTGTGTCAGAATTGTACGATGGAATATAATGGAAGTTCGTGGTCTCTGCCTATCCCTCTGGGTGTATATACGTCTGCAAAGAGTATTTAATTGGAAATTCCGTAATAAAAGTAAATGTACATGAAAGGGCGCCAAACTCATAGAAAACTCTTATTCCGTGTTCTGTGGCCAAACTACTCTATCAACATCAAATCCATAACATTTAATTTTTGGCAAACAGTGCTGACAATATATAGGTGAATTATAATTGTGCTGTAAATGTCTATCATCGATCAAATTTATACATACCTACGAATGTATAGGCAATGTATTAAAATAATAAATGAAGAATATGATTTACGAAACATGTTCTAAACATTTCTATTTGGAAAATCAAATAGATTCTACAATAGAAGGCTAAATCATCTGAGAAAGTCAATTGAAATACTTTAAACGAGCGGTCAAAATGAAACTATAGAAACTACTTATTATCAACTTAACTGTGTCCGTGACTGTGGGCTCGTTTTTATTAAAGGGTGGCAATTTAACATACTCCACCTGATGGTAAGTGAGAACTGTGACCCATAGACATCTACATTTATCCTCAAATAAGAATCAAAAAGCAGATGCGTTGTCACCCCTGAGTACTAAGATAGAATGTCTCGTTTCCAGTAAAAAGAGTCTCAAAAAAAATCGCCCCGATATTTTGTACGAGAAAAGTCCTTCCCCGGTCTAGTCTACTCCATTCGTAATACAATATAATGTGACTATCCATTTCCAGATAAACCAAAAATAAACGACTGATTTTTTAAATTAAAATCTAGATGCTTCTCTACAGACCCTCAAGCGGATGCCGGCCTTCAGAAGACGCCGCGTGGAATGGAGGAGTAGCAGGATCTCAGGGAACTGGTGGAGTTGGTGGTGTTGGCAGTCCTGGGGGAGTTGGAGGTGGGGGTGGTGTTAACGGAGCGGGGGGTGCTCGTGCACTGCGTGTGCGTGTGTCCGGGGGTGCGGCACCCGCGCATGCGAGACGTCTATCCCCACCCCCATCAGCACACCGCGCTACTACACCCCCACCACCTGCAGACCCACCTATTAAACGTAAGTACAATAAATTACCCATAACTCAACCAATGGTTGTCTTCAGGTCGCGGACTTTCTTTTAGAACTTTTTATGAAGAAACAATTCAACAATATAGATATTATTTTCGTGTAACTTTCAACTATTGACACAGAGCACGCCATAGAAGCACTTTAAACTGTGACAGAAGCTCTCAACTTTTTCGGACTTAGTTGAATATCACACATTATATCATAACTTAGAGTCATCATAATAAATGTATATACATAATATATATCATATCTCTATTTTGACATCATCACACATTTCAAATGGTGAAAAATACTTTCATATAGATTATTTTTGTTATTTTCATATAGATATAGGTTCCGGAGATAACCCTCCACATATATACAAACTTACGAAATTCGCACTCACTTTTTATGTTTGTTGATCTTATTATATATATTTTATAGAATAGGGTGAGAAAAAGGAACACGCAATCCACCTAGTTGTAAGTGGAAGCTGCGGCCCATAGATATCTACATTTACAACTGAGGACTAAAATCGAATGCCTCGTTTCCACTAAAAAGGGTCTGCCGTTCTCTACACTTACCATACGAAACACAGCAGTATTATTACGCAATATTACGCTGGTTTTTTGTGAGAGCGTGGTCTTTACCCGTTCGAGCCAACCCATTAATTGTGCTACATGCATAATATAACTGCAGCATGGCTCTACCATGTTGAATATACACGTGTATATCCATTTCATTAAAAAAATGGTTAAGGTTTAAATAGAACAAAGGAAATTGCACCAGTTGTTTAAATTATGATTACACAAACGCTAATCCCAGCTTAAATTTAATGTAAAAGAATAATTTAAAGCACGCAACCGGTCTGAAAAAATGACTGCTCTCGAAAATTCAGAACAATGATCTGTCTGGAGAACCGCTAGTTCATTACAAGCACTATGTAGGTCCTTCTTATTTATGGCATTAAAACATAGCGGCTCAACGGTTGCATTTCCGATTCGAGCACTTTTGCACGCGATCTCTAAGCCAGTGACCGTTTTCGTAACATGACTTTGATTACTACAGTGTTTTGTTTAACGAATGTTTAATTTGGAATGTTTCCGCTGGGTAGTGTCATAATGACTTAATGTTATTATGACCCAATATTTCTATATATTACGATATAATGAGAAATTGTTAAACAATAAACACACACCAAAAAAGAGCTGCGTATGTAAATTAACCTTCTTGTTTTTTCAAACTTGGTTAGAAATATACGTAGGGTGCTTACCACGTCCCTTTTTTAAGATAAGAATACTGTATTACAGATTATAACAGAACTGTGAATAAAATCTGATAGAAATAATTATATTTAATAATATACCTATATAAATGCCCACCTAGCTATTATATTGTAAGTGGTAGCTCATATAATATATCTATATTATATGTTATACCACGGCTCATAGTAGCTCAGATGGTTATCGCTCGCTGTAAATATAACAGATCACGAGTAACCCGGGTTCGATCCCCGCTGGCACCAAGGAAATTGTTAATTGCAATTTTAAGTGCTGATTTACCACGTGCTCGGCGGTGAAGGAAAACATCGTGAGGAAACCTGCATGTCTGAGGACTAAAAAATATTTCTAAGACATGTGAAGTTCGTCAACACGTATTAGGGCAGCGCGGCGGACACTTCCTTGCCTTAAAACCCTCTCAAAAATGAGGGGAGGCCTATGCCCAGCTGTGGGACGTTATATAGGCTGTAACTTTACTTTACTTTTTTAACTTTATTATATTATATTTATATTAATTTGTTATCTGCGACTTCACCCGCGTGGATTTTGTTACGGTTTTATTTCATAGGTTTTAATTTTTTTCGTGGAATCCTAATTCCTTTTCTAAAATAAAAGTAACCTAAGTTACTCCATATAACATCAGCTATCTACGCCCTTAAAATCGGTCCAGCCATTTCGTTGATAAACTGGAACAAACAGACAGACAAAATTTTCAAAATTTGTTTTTTTTTTACAAGTGTCGTACCTACATACTTTTATATTCATTTAGTAAAAAGCTGTTATTTTGATATTACAAACAGAAACGTCATGGATCCAAAAAAAAAAAAAAAAATTCTTTGCAACTTTCCGCTAAACAAGAAGCCTCACCACCCCACTACAATATGTTAAGGGAGGTGCGCTTCAATCAGGAAACACATAATTTATATTTTAGGGAAAGTTGCAAAGAAATTTATATTATATTTTTATTAACGTCAACTACATTTATATTCAATTTTTTTAAACCTAATAAGATTTTTCATATTTTTAAAAAGCAGCGACTACAATATTTAAAATAAACACAAAATATGATCCTTCATTAGTTATATCTTCCTTGTGAAATGCATGTTTGTTTATGCTTATATCCGTTACTTCTCGGAACAGCCATACTGTGCTCGCATCGGATATAAACAACTGACGCTCAAATGTTTTTTTTTAATTTGTATCTATTTTTATGGCGGCAAAAGGTCGATGTTTATAGACATTGCTTTAAGGCCGGCCACATACATACGGAATTCCGTTTAGGGATTCCGATTCGAGATTCTGTACATACATCACACATACGTTTTTTTTTGTTCGGAATAACAAGGCTCATTTGAGAGATGCTAGCCATTGAGTACAGATATTCAGCCAGCGAATGTGGACGACGATATTGCGATTGCATTGTTGCTATATCTAGCTAAGAAGAAAACATATTGCCACCGTTACTGGGCTGGGTGTATCCCCTTAACACCCTAAGATTACAAGATGGCCAGTATTATGTAAAAAGAGCCAAATTGGGAGCCGACAAATTATTTCGTTTCTTACATCATTTTTAATGATGAGCTAGAGGGAACAGTAACAGAGGTGGAAGAATCATGTTGAGCGTAAAGTCTATAGTACTTAGTATTATTATGGAAATGATGAATCCACGACATTTTCTGCCTCCAGAGCGGCGCCATTTAAAAATGAAGTGTAATATTTGAGATTTCATAGCGGGGAAGTTAATTTATGAGTAAAATGTAAAGGATAATGTTGTACTATTAGTTATATTTTATATTAATTAGACTAAAAATAAATAAACCAAACCACTCAGGCATTGTTTTGTGTATTAATATAATACTCTAGAAAGTGATAAAGTTTTATTTAAAACTATTTTCTCAATTAAATGACATTGTGTGACAAACTGACAAAAAAAGAAAACTGACAATGAACTTCTGCAGTTCCTTTGAACTGAACTGCTATATCTTTCTTTCAGTCGTTGGAAAACTATGTATGTAATATAAAATTAATACACTTGTTTTCCCTATGCGGGACAAAACAAGTATTCTTCATGATGAAAAATATAATCCTCCGTGTACTAGATCACCCATTCGCTTCGTTTGTAGCACCCACACTGGGCGCGTTCCGTACGGAATTTACGAATGTGTGTTACAAGTTGAAAGTCTATGGAAGACTTGCGTTCGGAGCGGCTTTTTTCCGTTCGAGATTCCGAATTCGAACGCACAGGTCATACGAAATCTCGAATCGAAGTATTCTGTATGTATGTGGCGAACCTAAATAACTAAATATTGTTTATGGTATATAATTTTACGATTAGGCCGGCCACATATATAGGGAATTCCTTTTCGGACTTCCGTTTCGGAATTCCGATTCGGGATTCCGAACGCAGCAAGTCTATATAAAATCAATGACCCGTCACACATATACGATATTTTTCCGTACGGAATTTTGCAGGTAAAACGGAATTCCGTATGTAGTGTGTGACGGGCCTTAATAAGGATAAAGTATTACGTTTTCGAAAAAAATATAGCAAACAAGCTTTGGCAGTAATTAAGAACACTTCGAAAAATCCATTTAAAAAAACTAATTACACTACAGCATGCTTAAATCGACTAAAATAATTACTACTAGCTGGTCCGGCAGACGTTATTCTGCCTTTCTGGTTGGTTACGCCTTGAGTTTCATTTTCACACAAACAATTTTCCGCTTTATGACCAATAGAAACACCACAACCATTATGACAATAAACTAAAAAAAAAAAAACTAAAAACATAACCCTTCTTTTGTAGTCTTCTGTAAGCGAATAAAAAGTTTCCTATATGTTATACGTCATCATTTACTGCCTACACATCAAATTTCTTGGAAATCCATCCAGGAGTTTTTGCGTGATTCTTGAATAAATAAATTTTCCACAGATTTATTATATGTAGGCAACTGTCAAAATAGCGTCGATAAAGCAGCGCCCTTTTAACCCTTTATTATTTGATCGACCGATGAAGAACTATCATATCATAAAGCCTGTAGTTTTTGAGTTACAAGAAAATGATCATATTAACCGGATGACCATATTAACCGGATGACCACATTAACCGGATGACCATATTAACCGGATGACCATATTACCCTCACGTACTACATACCTAATAGTAATAGTACCTGAATCGAATTTACATAATTATACACTTTGGTTACGTAATGTTCATTTAAATAAGCTAATGAACAAAAATATTCTAAATTTAAAAAACTGGAAGAATCGGTATACAGAACTAACTAAAACTGCACTGATAGTAAGTCGTGAAACCCTAAAAATGTGTTCCGTTGAGAGAGCACGTATTTAATAATATGAGCTGTAAACGAAACAAAGGAGAGAGTAAAGCCCGGTTTACATTTTGAGAAGTGACAAGTGCGAGTGACAATGACAAGTGACAAATGACAAGTGCTAAGTGCGTGTGAACAGGCAGTGACAAGTGCGAGTGACAAGTGATAAGTGCGAAATGAAAAGTAACAAGTGAATAGCGGCCTGCTCTATTCTCTGACAAGTATCTCTGCCCCGCGCTAACCTTGCTTTCCCCTCAGGCACCGCCGCCCCAGTTCTAACACCGAACGTCAGAACATACACGTGTTGGTTATAATAGTTATTAAATAAAATATTTTTTGTTATATATATTGTATACATACTCGTATTTATAATAATTTTGTTTTATTACGAAG